TACAAAACCCCTCCACCCGGCCCCTGGACCTCCACGGAAGGGGGGCTCGGGGAGTGAGAAGAGGAAGCAGCTCACGGCCCCCCTCAAAGTGAACCAGCCCCCCTCAAAGACAGCAGCCCCCCCAAAGCAAATCAACCCCCTTCAAAGTGAACCAGCCCAGCCTGCAACTCCCCCTGTCTTTTTTCAAGCTCTGCAGCAGCCCCCAGCCCCCCTCCCCCTCTCTCCTTCCAAGGGGGGGGCACCTAAGGGTACTTACCCCACGGTGCCCGTCCGTTGAGCCTGGCACGTGCCCACCACTTTGGGATGGAAGGAGGTCCTGCTGTGGAGAGCGGCCTCCTTGGTGAAACACTGGAAGGCAGAGGGGCAATCAGCCCAGAGCCTCTGCCCATGAACAGAGTGCCTGGCCCCAGAGAAGGCAGTCTCCCGGCCATGGGGTCTCTCAGGGTGGGAGGGGGGCCAGAGCAGACCCAGACCAAGGCTCCCTTCAACGGCCTTGAGCAATACAGCAAAGGCGCACAGGCAAGAACGGTCCTGCACCCCAAGATTTGGCACAGGCTGATCACGGGGGCGCATGCAAGGTCCCCCAGCCCTGAGACCCCCCCCCAAATTTGGTGCCGCACATCTTACTTGGGGCAGCTCACCAATGACCCGGTCCCTCCTCACGGGGGCCAGGATGTTCATTGCAGAGGTCCCAGATGGAGGGGTCTTCGCAGATCTCCGAGGTTCCCACCTGGGAGCACAAAAATGGGGGACACTGAAGAGCTAAACCTGCAGTGTCCAACCTTGGCAACTTTTAAGACTCGTGGACTTCAAGTCCCAGAATTCCTCAGCCACTTTAAGACTCGTGGACTTCAACTCCCAGAATTCCTCAGCCACATTAAGACTCGTGGACTTCAAGTCCCAGAATTCCCCAGCCACTTTAGGACTCGTGGACTTCAAGTCCCAGAATTCCCCAGCCACTTTAAGACTCGTGGACTTCAAGTCCCAGAATTCCCCAGCCACTTAAAGACTCATGGACTTCAAGTCCCAGAATTCCCCAGTCACTTAAAGACTCATGGACTTCAACTCCCAGAATTCCTCAGCCACATTAAGACTCGTGGACTTCAACTCCCAGAATTCCCCAGTCACTTAAAGACTCATGGACTTCAACTCCCAGAATTCCTCAGCCACTTTAAGACTCGTGGACTTCAAGTCCCAGAATTCCCAGCCAGCAGTTTGGTTTTCCTTCATCTACTACCCAGTCCCCCACTGGCCCCTCCTCCAGAGAAACATCTCCTGTGAGGGTCCCACATGGCAGAAAATATGGGAGGGGCTCCAGCCCCCCCCTCAGAGGCACAGCCCCCTTTCCCAGAACGGCTTCGAAATCTAACAACTGCATTGATTCGAGGTAGGTTGTAAAACGGGGCAAAACTCAGTTAACAAACGTCTCCCTGAACAACACTAATTTTGGGGTCCATTGTGGTTGTAAGGACTACCTGAATAAAAAAAGTCGGGAAGGGACCTTGGAGGTCCTCTAGTCCAATCCCCTGTTGTGGCAGGAAACTATACCCATCCCAGACAAGCGGCTGTCCAGCTAGCCCAGGGGTAGGCAACCTTGGCTCTTTTATGACTCGTGGACTTCAACTCCCAGAATTCCTGAGCCAGCTGCGCTGGCTCAGGAATTCTGGGAGTTGAAGTCCACGAGTCATAAAAGAGCCAAGGTTGCCTACGCCTGATTGCTAGCCTCTTCTTAAAAACCTCCAGGGATGGAGCGCCCACAACTTCTGGTGGCCGGTCGTTCCCCTGGTTAAGGGTCCTCCGGGACCCAACGGGACTTGACGAGTTGGCAAACCAGATCCAATCACCCTGAAAGGACTTTTGCTACTTCGCTTCTCCCGCTTCGGGCGGCGGGTCTTCTTCCCAGCCCACAAAGGGGGTGCTGGGGTTGGGGGGGGGTCAGCAGCAGCAGCGCCCCGGAGCCAGGCAGCCCCCCCCCGGGGCCTCCTTCCACGCAGGCTGCAACAGGCCGCCGGAGCGGAGACGCCCGTGGGTGCAGCGCCGAACCTCGCCCGGGGCATCCAAACGTTCCTGGCGGGACGGCGGAGCCGGAGAGGGAGGGAGGGAGGCGCGTCCCCGAGCAGCTCCCGCTCTTCCCCCCCCCACGCTCCTCCCGCCCCCGGAGCTCGGCCCCCGCGCCTTCCACGCCCCGGGACGGCCCCGAGTCCCGCCTTGAGACGAGCCAGCTGGCCCAGACGGGGAGGGGGGGGCTCTGCCGGGACCCCTGCCAGAGGGGGCGGGCGAGGAAGCCTCCCCGGGGCCCGTGGGGGGCGCGCTGATCGTCCCTGGAGGGGCT